GCGGGGGAGGGACGGGCCCAGCGGCAGCCCCGCGGCTCCGGAGGGGAACGCGGCACCCCGTGCCCTCCGAGCGACCCACCTGCGTCCCCAGGAAGAATTCGGGCATTGAGGGCTGTTTTCAAACACGGTTTGAAGCACTAAGGAAGGGAGCACCGGGGCTCTCCGCTCCCTCCGCACGTGCGGGGGTAAGAGGAAACTGGCTCCCGGCAAGAGGAGAGTCACGGGACCCTGGAGGAGGTTAATACTTTGACGTGTCCTAGGATCCAAAGTTGACTCTGCTGCGCTTGTTGAGCTCCTGGAAGCCGAGGAGAAAGTCTGTCTTTTATTACGTTATTTATGGCTTCTCACTCACCAGTTCTGCATCGCTTCCCTGTTCCCCTAGTGCCTCCGCCTGCCACCGGGGTGGTTTGTCCACCCAACGCTCCTGCTCCGCATCTACGATGACAATAACAAAACAACCGGCTCGGGAATCCCGGCTGCCCCATCACTGCGGACGCCTCCCTGCTCCATCATTTTCCGTAGCAGGAAAATCTTTCGATACCTGTGTCTAGAGCTAGAAAGCAGGAGCAGGCAGGTCCCAAAGGGGGAGCAGGAGCCGCCGGCGCTCGCGCAGGCCACGCGGCCCCGTGGGGCTCACACACGTCCAGGAGATCAGCCCCCAAAAGGGGCATCTGGAAGCAGCTGCCCAAAACCTCCCCGTTGCTGCAAACCTCGAGGGCTGGACACATTCTGGGGCTCATTGCCACGTGCTCGCCTTGCTCCTTTACCTCCACGTCACTTTTTTTGCCTGATTAACAAGTTCAACAATCCCAGCGATGCAGCTCCAGGTAGGTGAGGTTGAGGTGATGCTCAGGCGCTGCCCCATGAACCATGTGAATCTTTTTTAAAGAGGCAGCAAAAAGCAAAACAAAGCGACCCACCAGCTACTTGCTCTTGGGCTTATTGGCAAACTGGGTGACTCTGAACGCACCCTGAGCCCTTCCCAACCACCACGACCACGGAGGCTCCTTAACAGCATCTCACCGACCACGTCAAGGCACAAACAGCCGCTGTGCAAGTCCCCCTGCTTGGGGCACCCTCCCACTGCCACCTTTTACTCGGTCTGAAAATTAATCCAGTAAGATCAAACTGCAGCGAGGTTCACCCGTTAACTGGGCACGTTTTCAGACACCTCGAACACCAGCCCCTGCAAACAGCCTGATGCAGCCCAGGGCCTCCCAGCTCCAACTCTGCTCCACACCTCACGCCCAGCACAAAATACCTGCTGCTTCCAGGCTGCTGCGGGAGAAGGGAGCACAGAAGGGGTCTGCATGGATTTATTTTAAGGCCTCTGCTTCCAAAATAACCGCAGCACTTCGTGAATCATCACGGATATCCCAGACGTAACATCACAAAGGCAAGTTTTATGAAATCCATATAATCCCTAACCGGGATGTCACAGCATGACACGCGCGGTTCTGTCTGCAGCACCCAGGGATTTCAGAGCAATTAAGTGGCATTTCACTTTGGGGCTATTTTCTTTTTTTAAAAAAGAAAAAAGACGAAGCTTCATTTATTTTCCACTTATTTCTGGGCTGAACGTGGTTTCTCAGCTTACTCTCAAATACTAATTAGCCTTCAAATCATTAACAAAAATGCCTCAGCAGCAGCCGGCCCCGCGTGGCCGTGTCCAAGGAGCTGCCCCAAGGAGGGCTCCGGCGCCGCTCGGCCCAGCCAGTTGGTATCACCCCAGCAGAGGCGGTTTCCAGCTCTTCAGCGCGGAACCAGCTCAAAATTGCAAATTCCTAAACGGCAGCTTGGCCTTAAACATTAACCCAGAGCAGCCGGCCCGCGCTGGGGGGCTCTTCCCGGCACGACGCATTCAGTAGCAGGGGTTTGGGGCCACACGGCGCGATTAGACCTCCACCCTCTGAAATCCAGGCCTTCAGCAACAACCCACTAGAGATTATTTTTAAAAACCCAATTTCCGCCATTCCGCCGCAGAATTCGCTTTCTCAAATCACTATTCTCTGCCCTGATGTGCATCCCCATTCCCGTCTCTTTCGGCAGGGACTGAAATGATCTCAGAGAACGTCCTTCCTCCCCTCCGCCACCCGCAGGAACACAGATCCCTTCCGAGGGAAAGCGAGGGATTTGCCGCTTCCTGCTGCGCTTCTGCCGGCCGCTCCTGCCCCGCTTTGCGCCGGCCCTTCCAGGGAAACACTGCACAGCTGGAAGTCGGACCCTGCCGCGCGATTTGGGGAGTGCAATGAAAACACGAAATCCGAGGGGTTGGAGGGATTCAACGCCACAGCCAGAAAAGCAGAGTCACCCCCAGCACATCCAGGGCGCCAGGACCGCAGGAAAGGCCAAGCCGCGGTGCCAGCCCCGCTCCGGCCATCCGTGCCAGTGCGCTGAGGCACTGGAGGCGCCGGAGGCCGGGATTTGGCAGCGCGGGGCCCACGATCGCGTTACTGCCGCATCCTTCGCTCCGCAGCTCCCGACGCTGAGCAAAACACGGAGCCAAGTTACCTGATCCCTGGGTTTGCAGCCGGGAGGGACCCGGAGCCCAAACCCGG